GACAAAAGCTTGCCTTCCTGAGAAAGAAATAAGACTGTTATAGAGCGAGAGAGAGGACCTCTGATAAGGTGATCCAAAGAAGACTTAAGTTCCAGCCCTAGTGGTGTTTTTTACTTGATGTCACAAACTGCAAAGGCCAAGTAGTTAGAACTTGGTGCTCTTAATAGAAGAGAATATAGGAGAAAACCTGAAACCGTGGGTGTCGGGCAAGGCAGTAAAGTGTCTTACCACATAAGACTTTATGGTAAGAGATTCTGACTTTATTTGGGTAGTGAAAAGCCACTGAGGGTTGGTTTTCACCTCTCACAGTAATTGGTAAGGAGTGGTAGAATGTCTGCTGGAAGCAGAAACAGAGTGCACACAGGTGCAAGTAAGGTATAATGGTTGTGTTTCAGCTAGAAATGGACAAGTTTAAGAGAGGTGCGGAGAGTGAAACCAATGTAACGTGTTGGTGGGATTGGGCTGGCCTTGGGGCTAGGGAATGGTGGTGAAGAATAAAGAATAACTCCAAGTTGTGAGGTGAGCAGTTGTGGAGTGCGGTGTCACCCACTGAGACTGAGAAGACCAGTTCAGAGCTCTGTTTGAACATGTTATGCTTGAAATCTTCATTGAATTCAAGTGAAAAGACTGATGGGAGGGGGTAATGTCAGTTTAGAGCCCTGGGAGAGGCTAGGCATAGAAATTTGGTATTTACAGCTTATAGCTGGTAGAGTTTTGAGACTGAAAAAGACAAACTCAGAAGCCAGGACTCATTCTTGGGAAGAAGGTTCAGGGCAGAGCTGTTCCTCACTGATGAACCCAAGCATCTGACAGCAGTACCTGCCTGTGGCATAGTAGGCTCTTCATCTGTTGAATGAATGGACTGAAAAACCAGCTTTTGAAACATTGGTAGAGGAGAGGCCTTGGGGTAAGAGAAAAATCCAAGAAAACAGCCCTGTGGAAGCTGAGACAAATGTTTTGAAGAGGAGTGACCGGTTGTGTTAGCTGCTATGGGCTATTTGGAAGACAAATGTATTACAGTAGCTTTGTCTTGATTTTTCTTTTTCTTTTCTTTTTTTTTTGAATTCTTTTTCATTCAGCTTATGTTTAGGGGTAAAGATAATATTTCACAGTACTGAAAGTTGAAATTTTTTTGTAAATCATTTGGAATTAAAAGTTTAACCTGAACTAATGTGAGGCAATTCTGGTCCTTATTCTACTTGCTGTGAATATTCACACATTTTTTGCTACAGAAATATTAATGTTTGATTATAGCATGCTGCCCATACTCTTGGATATTGCATAATGTATGGCAGATGTACCATATCACCTTAACAAAGTCTAAAAAGTCAAGTTTGAAACATAGCTAGTTTCAAGAACCATAGATAGGAGATTATGGACCTTAGTAGCCTTTTCCATTCTGATAGCTTCTTGAAGAGAGCGATTTTTAAGATTTTGCAGATAAATAATTCTTGATGATAATTTCCTTGCATTGACAATTAAAGACAGTCACGTTGAGTTGAGTTGATTTTTCTGGATATTTACTTCACTGATAAAGTATTTTTAAGTACAGATTGAGTATTACTTAGGACTAGAAGTGTTTCAGATTTCAGATTGTTTTGGATTTTGGAATATTTGCAATTATATTTACCGGTTGAGTATCCCTAATTGGAAAGTTGAAAAACTGAGGTGCTCCTTTGAGTGTCAAGTCAGTACTCAAAATTTTGGATTTAGGAGCATTTCAGATTTGGGATAACCAACTTAATTTTGATTAAAATCAGGGTAACATTTAAAATGTCAGATTGCATTACTGACCATTTAAATAAATGAGTGAATGAAAACTGTAGGGTTTTTTGTTTGGGGGGGGCGGGTTTGAGTTGTAGCACAAGCTGTAGTGCTGGCTCACAGCTACTGCAGCCTCAACCTGGGCTTCGGTGATTCTTCCACCTCAGCCTGCAAGTTGCTGGAACTACAGGTGCCATCACACCTGGCAATTTTTTTTATTTCTTGTAGAGATGAGGACTCGACAAGTTGCCCAGGCTGGTATTGAACCCTTGGGCTCATGCAATCCTCTTGCCTCTGCCTCCTCAAGTGCTGGGATTACAGGTGTGAGCTCCAGTACCTGGCAAAAACCACAGGTTCTTAAAGCTAAGAAAAGATGTTTTATCTTTTAAAAAGTGAATGCCAGCTGGGCTCAGTGGCTCAGCCTGTAATCCCGCGCCTTTGGGAGGCTGAGGTGAGTGGATTGCCTGAGCCCACGGGTTCAAGACCCGCCTGGGCAGTGAGACCTCATCTCTACAATAAATCAAAAAATCAGCTGGGCATGGTAGCACATGCCTATAATTCTGGCTACTCTGAAGGCTGAGGTGGAAGGATTGCTGGAGCCCAGCAGACGAGAGTGCGGTGACTGGGAGCGGCCACTGCACTCCAGTCTGGGCGACAGAGTGAGACTCCAACTCAGAAAAAAAAAAGTGAATGCCTGCAAAGTAGCAATCTAGAAATTTGTGAGCTATAGAATTAAGCAGAATAAAGTTGGAGAAGATTTATTTATACACTTCTTTTATTTTGGAAGAATTCTTGATAAACCCAAGCATCTGTCACTTGGCTGCCCTTGTAGGTATGTGTCATTTAGGCTGTATGCATGTTGTTGGTAGAACTGCAGCCCCTCAGTTGTGTCAGAGAAACTTGTAAAACCTGTGTCTATTCATATACACTTTGGTGGTCCCATTTGGAAAGCAAATTATTTGGAAGTATTGACTGTGGGCCACTTTGCCTGAGTTTGACTCTAGCTCTTCCACTTGTTAGCTGTGTGACTTTGGCAGTATAACCTGACATGTTTGTGTCTTGCCCCTCTTCGCTATTACAAAGTAGTACTAATAATGTAATACAGCATAGAGTTGTTGAAAAGATTAACAGGAAATGTATGTGAAGTCCTTAGGATAGTGACTTCTAATATGCACTCAGTAGATACTATGTGCTGCTGTCTTTTTTTTTTTTTTAACACACTTGCAGAGAAATGGCCACTCTAGTCTCCATTCTGTAGGTCTTTGGGACTTGGGGCTTTCCATTGACTTTTCCATATGCCCCTAATTAGAATATTTGCTGTTACAATGTGGGAGATATTAGAGACATTTCGTCTTGGTGAGTCTTACACAGAGGCATTTGGAAGTTATGTAAAGACTACACTTTTTAAATTCTTACTCTAGTGATCTCCTTGCTGGTGATAACTTTTTGCATTAACTTAATTACATGATGCTTTGTAACCTATAGTTTTCCATATTTAGGAATTCAGTGAGACCGCACTGCTTTCCAGGAGCAATGTGTGCTGTCACCATGTGGGGTAGGGCTGTATGGCAGAGCCTTTCTTGATGGGTAGTTTGTTTTTTGCATTCAGAGATTCCCAGTTGTATAAGTGCAAAGATGTCACCTTGGTGCTTGTCTGTATTGTTTCTTAGCTTTGTTGTTGACACCTGCATTAAAAAAGTGGCCTTCTCTTTAAATAACTGTGTATTTGGATAGTTTCCAGAAGACAGCTTGTGTCAAAAGCGAACTTAATTAGAGGTATGATGCCAGCAAAATCAATTATTTGTATTGTTAGAAGCGTTAATTTTATAAAAATTGAATGTGTATACTGGACTATTAACAAATTGTAGACGAAGGAACAAAAGTTTTTGAGTTATTGATTTCCATTAAATAAACAAAAAAGGCATGTATTTAGGGAGAATTTTGAAAGATGTGTTGATCCTAAAGGTAGATAAATGGCATCATTTAAGCTAGCTTTTACTATATCAACCTATGTTGAAATTATGGACTTCAAGCCATTAAAATCAGCTTGGCCATCCTTATACAATTTAGTGATTGTTCATTTAAACACTAGAATCAGCACTAAAGATAATTTCAGACTGAATAAAGGCTGTTGTAAAAGTGCCCATTACTTTAGAAAAGCAGTAGTCTTCCCTAGGTATCTGAGAGATTGGATTCTGGACGCTTACAGATGCTAAGTCTAGGGATGCTAAAGTTCTTTAAATAAAATGGTGTCATGTTCGCATATAACCTGTGTATGTCCGCTGTGTAGTCATTTCTAGATTACTTGCAATACCTGATGCAATGTAAAGGCTATGTAAATAGTTGCTACACTCTGTTGTTTAGGACATAATGACGAGAAAAGTCTGTATATGTTGGGTACAATTATCCAATTTTTTAAAAATTTCAATTTGTGGTCGGCTGAATCTACCAATAGGAAGGGAGTATTGCGTATATTTAAGGGACTTTCTTATTGTTATTCTTATTGTTTTTATTATAAGAAACACTGGAGCTTTACCTAAAACTATTAATTCTACTGAAATTTGGTTGATGAAAAATCTATGATTTTGTTATTTGCTTATTAAATAAATCTTAGAAGTTTTGAGACATTGGGATATAAGATGCCATTTAAAAAGACAGGCTAGGAATTAAAACTTTTTAATTGTGAAGAACGAGACAATATTCTTACTACCTTGAAAAATGTCACAGATGTATCTTAGCAGAGCAAAACTTTATTTTGGCACCAAATGACCGTTATCAAAACTTCCCTAATGAACGGTAATATAGACACTGAACATTTTAACCACCCATATTTACTATAAAGGATTTCTGAGATTCCCATAAATCATCCAAGATGCTATATTTGCTGAATTAAATTCAGAAAACTTACCTTAAGCATCTGAATTTGCTAGAGACTACTAAAAGTGGTTATTTAAGGTATAGAAACAAACAATCAGGGGAGGACTAAAAATCAGAAAAAGTTGCTTTCCTTAATCTACAAATAAACATAATGTAATAATGTCATCAGCATATAAAAGTATGTATAGTATATTGGTTTCCTAATACCATTTGAAAATTGCAAAACTAACATATTATTCAAGATTTTAAATACAACTTATTAAGTGTCAAATGTCTTCTAGTGGTAGATGTGCATAAATTCAGATAGTTCTTGCAGATTTTCTTTTCTGTATTGTTTAGTTTTATCTTTTCTGTTTTAGGTGATATTGGAAATTACTATTATGGACAAGGTCATCCCATGAAACCTCATAGAATCCGCATGACCCATAACCTGCTGCTAAATTATGGCTTATACAGAAAAATGGAAATATATGTGAGTATACCTTTTGGCAAATATTCAGCACTGGTTTTTTTTTTTTTTAAGCTACTACTTGAAAATTTGTTTATTATTCCCCTTTGGAGGGCATTTAGCACAGAAAAGATCTCAGAGAAAACAAACTCCTCTTTTGTTTTATTCTTCAGAGAAAACAGTGTGTGAGCTCTAGTCTCTTCTTTTGGCCATTTTTAAAACAGTTCCCTCTACCCTCAGTTTTCATGTCTCCGGAGAACAACTCAATCCAGCATATTAAATGGTTTTGTTGTAGTAATTGTTGACCTGCCAGTGTTTCTGAAAAGAGTTGACCTGGGACTATTACAAAGAATTATGCACAAGATTAGTTCTACAAATACTTATAGGGCATGTAATATATACAGAATGCTGTTAGTGTCCAAGTGGAATGCAAATAGCATAGACCTGCAACATCTTCTTATATCTGTAGGTAAAAATGAGGATATACATAAATACAGGCACAACAATAAGTATCTATTAGGGGATAAAAGAAATACTTGAAGCAGTAAACAGTGCTAGGCATGCATGTGAGTTCCTTCAGATACAGACATGTGGAAATGAGGGGAGCTGGATGATTGCTCCATCTGTGGAAGCCTTGCGATAGAGTGTGTGGTCCAGGAGGGTTAGGATAAATAGAAAAGGGAGAGCATGAACTGAGACTTGGAATTGAGAATGTACATGTAGCGGACACTTCATGATGGTTAGTGAGAGAGGGTGGAGTTGATAAGCATGGATCTGACCGTCCAGGTTGATGTGTCTCCACTCACTTGTGGAGTAATTAACTAACTCATAATCGACATTATGCCGGTCTGAAGTTTTAAAGGAGTTTGGATCAGCTTTGGAATTGGCATATTTGTTCTGGTGGACCTAGTTCTTTTGAGGGGATCGTTAGGGAAAATTGTATATTTTGTTTGATAATCCTGATAATGCCAGTTGTAGTTCCACAACTCTGACATTTATTTTTCTTCACAGAGGCCCCACAAAGCCACTGCCGAAGAAATGACAAAGTACCACAGTGATGAGTATATCAAATTTCTGCGGTCCATAAGGCCAGATAACATGTCTGAGTATAGTAAGCAGATGCAGAGATGTACGTTTCTATGTCACAAGTCTTTTAGTGTTGAGAAGTATCAATGAGTATTTTTAGGAACTTAGAGTTATCCAATCTGAACGTTTTTCATGTTATCCTAAATGTTACAATTATTGATTTGAAAAGTCAATTTAATAATACTAGAGCTACTTAAAAAAAAAATTTTGATTTATTGATCTGCAAAACTGGATGTTCTTCTGCACTTCCTTTTGCTCCTGTGATAATTTTGGGATAATGGATATTGATAAGGAGAACTCATGCCTTAAAAAAAAAGGTTATCCTATGATTAGTCTTTGTTTGGTTATACCTCTTGTCTTCTATTGATGTAGTTTATTTAATCTGGACTGTAATACTTATAATTTATTTTTCTTTGTTGAGATATTAGTGAAGCTTTTGATTGTCTTCTACATAGTGTTCTCTTACAGGTTAAAAGTATTTCATTTTTAGAAATTGGTAACAAATTGGCTTGAAAATAGGATGCAAAAGTCATCCTAAAATGGTTCAAACAGTGTTTTGAAGCTTATACTAGAGTTCATTCTCATCAGTGTTGGTATTGATGGACTTCATTCATGATATAATACTAAATTAAGTGTTGTTAGACATCTTACATATTTATAACCTCATACACATATCCACTATAGATTTTCTCATTTGATTTGTTAAAATGCTATAATATAACTAGGACAAGTATTATATATTATTCATTTTTTTCAGTGGGGATTCAGGTTTACATTAAAAAGGCAAATGAATTAAGAGAACTGATTTCAAATCTACATAATAGTTATATTATGATCATATCTGAGTGGTAAAAAAACTAAAATTTATTCTTGTTATTGCTTGTAACTTACAGGTGTACAAAGATATATAAAACAATGTCCCTTACTCCTAAAGAAGTTGTATTTTGGATCATAGGGAGAGACTAAGAATGGGTTATACATATCTACTCTCCCTTTTATTCTCTCAGTACTAAGGAACTAAGTATGTTGTGATAAGTATCTGTAGGTATTGTTTCCTTGCTGTCTTAAGTATCCTTTCTGTACTGGCTTTTATGAATCTAGCTGATTCTTAACCATCTTTCAAGATCAAGGTTAAGCATGGGCTGAGACAACCAGCTGTTAAAATATTTTTAGTACCCACAGAAATACATTTCAAAGTTACAGATGTTATGTGTATTTAAGGAATTTTAAAGAAAGTTACTTCTGAAGTTACTTTTTAGACTCTTGATTAATTTATTGTATATCTAAGGAGAAATGCCCAGGAAATCTAAGCTCATGTTTTAATTAAAAACAAATACGTTTTATGCTTTGGCACCTATTAATTTCTTATAAATAGAGCAGATATAGTCCACAGATAATTCCAATAAGATTTGGTGATGGTGTTTCAGCACTTTAATTACTTTGGATAAAAAGTAAATATATATTAAAGTTACAAACTTTAGATTGCTACTATGAAGTGTATATTTTATGCATCAAACAAAAGAGCATTTGTAGGAATTAGTTTTGTTAAGAAAAATCTTGCATTAATTTGCGGAATGGGTTGAAATTAATGAAATACATCTTCCACAGTTAATGTTGGAGAAGACTGTCCAGTGTTTGATGGACTCTTTGAGTTCTGTCAGCTCTCTACTGGTGGCTCAGTTGGTAAGTCTCAGTTCAGTTAAATGTTTGTCTAAACTTGGTATGTATTTTTTGGGTTATTTAGTTATAAAACAAGTCTTTGTGGTAGGTTTTGATAACAAAAGGAAGTGTGGTGTGTTTATAGTAAAGTAGAATTTACTTTAAAACCCTCATGTTTAATGATCTTGAGTTTAACATATTTTTTTGTATATTTTTACTTATAGCTCCTTTTATCCCCTTCTCTTCTGGCTACCTTTGTTACTGCTACTTTCATTTATACCGTTACTTAATCTCAGGTCACAGATAACAGGAAAATATTTACCTAAGGAAAAACTGCAAATTTTTAGTGCCATAATCAGTGCTTTTTACCTTTTATGACTTTAAAGTTTGCTTATACATGGCATAGTCTTACCTGTAGGACTTTTGTCTAGTTACATGAATTTTATTTTAAATATTTTAAAGGTTTACCCTATGTTGTTTCTACTTTTTAGCTGGGGCTGTGAAGTTAAACCGACAGCAAACTGACATGGCTGTTAACTGGGCTGGAGGATTACATCATGCAAAGAAGTCAGAAGCCTCAGGATTCTGTTATGTTAATGATATTGTGCTTGCCATTCTTGAATTACTAAAGTGAGTTAACTTATGTTGATACTTTTCCTTTGATGAAATGCTTTAATTAAAAGTCTTTGACTTTGAAAATATCAGGTCAATGGTAAGTTAAAGTAGTTCATGGTGAAATAGTTAATGGTAAATCTTCTATGGCTATAGACCATTGAAGAAATGCAGGAAATTTTCCCAGTCAATCCTTCTGTTATTAAAGAGAGAGAAATGTGTATAACTGTCTAAAACTCTCATTAAGTACCCTTTTAAAAAATAACAGAAGTAGTTTGGCAATTAGATTTGAGTTAGTTTCAACTAATGAAAAATGATATGACCTCGGAAATTTATGTTTAAAATTTTGTAAGTTTTAACTTAAAAGCAAAAATTTGAAACCTGTATTAAAGGACATCTGTTTACCTGTTGAGTGAGCCTACCTGACTATCTGGCTTCCACATCTAATGATTATAAAATCATCTCTAAGTTGTTGGAGGAGCTACTTTTGGCTATAGTTGAAGAACGAGATCTGTTGAGGTACTTAAGCATTTGGAGATTTACAAAATTAGGTGTTTTTTCCCATAATCAGTTGTGGCACGTCTTAGCAGATTCTACTTCAAATTGTACTGAGTTAGTGTTTTCTCATCTTTGAAAATGTTCTTCAAGGTAGGTATTCCATGCACGGTATCCACAGAGACTAATTTTTCGGTCACTTAAAACTTGGTGTTGACTCCTGGCAAACACTAACTGGAGCCACAGAAAACAATTTGAAATCATTTGTCTTGTTTTTTAATTGAATATTGATGATGTTGGTTCCAGTGTCTTCAACTTCCTGGGTGGTGCATTTAATCATGATTTAATTAATTGACTTGGTAAGCAGTTTCCCTTGCTTATCTAGCACCTGTACCGCTCAGAAGCTTTGCCTTGATCACAGCCTCATTTCTACTTTTTTTGCTTAAGTGAAGACATTTCACTGAAAGAGATATACTCTTAAATTTTCTAAGTTTTCTGAGTACTTTCCCATGTTCTGAGAACATTCTTATGAGCATTTAATCTAGTAATGTCAATTTACATGGTATTCTTTTAGCACAGCTGTGGTACCATTGCATAATAAACACAATAATTTGTCACCTAATTCAATAACAAAATGATTCTCACTTCACTATACTTTTAAAGAAGGATATTCAGAGTCTACTTTCCCCTTCTCTTGTTTTGACATGGGCATGCACTGGTAATAAATCACATAGCTGCTAAAATGCATTTGAGTTATATTTGTATCACTGTGATTTGTAGTGCTTCAAGTGATGAAGCGATGTTTTGAAGTTATGAAATTTCCACATGTGGTCTCTGTCACAACTACTCTGCACCTCATTGGAAGCCATAGATAATAAGTAAACAGATAAGCATGGCCACATTTCAGTAAAACAGTCTTGCTGAGTTTAGTGGTTCTCACCTGTATTCCCAGCTCTTTGGATGACTGAGGCAGAAGAATCACTTGAGGCCAGGAGTTCAAGGCCAGTCTGGCAATATAGCAAGACTTCGTCTACAAAAAATTTAAAAATTAGCTGGAAGTGGTAGCACATGCCTGTAGTCCCAGCTACTTGGGAGGCTGAGGTAGGAGGATCACTTGAACCCAGGAGATCAAGGCGCCACTGCACTCCAGCCTGAGCCACAGAGTGAGATCCTGTCTCTTAAAATAAAAAATGAGCTTTTTTACAGACACTGGGAATTTGAATGTTTTATAATTGTCACCTGTCAAAAATACTCATTTTTCCAGTGATTTGAAAGATATAAAAACTGTTCATAGCTTAGAGCTGTAAAAAAGAGGCAGTTTGCCGCATTTGGCCAGTCCCTGTTTTACACTGAAGCTATACTGGACAGATATTTTAATTAAAGTAATGATCATGGGTACGATGTAATCTTCAGTAGTTAATCATAGAAACATGTGCTATATGCTTTTAAGGCATATGGAATAGGACAAGCTCACAAAAAGAATAAATACATTTTTTCCTACATTAGGCCCAAAGTAGGGATTTAAAGTTTGAAGGTTCATACCTGAGATGTTTGAATTGTCTCTGGGACTGGAAGTAGAAGAGATTAAACATTCTGGAATGCAAGAGCTCAAACCTAGTTTCTTGGAAGATTGGTCTTCACATCTTGGAGCCTTGAAAACAAGAACCTCCTATGACTTTGTTTGCAGGTATCATCAGAGAGTCTTGTATATTGATATAGACATCCATCATGGCGATGGTGTAGAAGAAGCCTTTTATACGACAGATCGGGTAATGACTGTATCATTCCATAAGTACGGGGAATACTTTCCTGGCACAGGAGACTTGAGGGTAAGGTTCAATTCTACTGAATAAATATTGTGAGATTAGCCTAGGAGGTTAGTAATCCTGTACTTGGGCTAATATTTTTCCTGAGTCATGGATTTGAAGCTTGTATGCAGGGTTAAATCACTTTTTATGCAGAACATCTGCTGGAGTTTACTTTTTGTAGGCAAAAAGTTTAATGAGAACTTAAAGGGTTTTGTTTTGTTTGTTTGTTTTACCTAGCTATTTTCTTTAATGGAATAAATATTCTGGGGCATCTATATAGCATGAAGTCCTTTTCTTGATGTTCATTTTGAATATTCACCACTACCTGATGGTAGCCTGCATGCTATTAATTGTAAAGATGGATGGAATAAAATAGATAAGGTATTTTGGGGTTCATTTGCTGCCCTCTCTAATTGATCTTGATTTTTAATAGGTCTGATTTTGATATTTTTTTCCCTTGGGCTTCCGAAATTTTTAATTTTTAGTGTATACCATTTGGGAAGAGAAAGAATACCCTTATTTCACCCTGCCTGTCTGTTACATTAATTGCATTTATTTTACTATATTTATGTTATCTTTTCCATTTGGTGGTCTATCTTTTATGACTGAAAAATGCTGGTCAAATCCTGTTTCTACAAACTCAAAAAAAAAAAAAGGTTTCTTTTGCTCACTATAGCTTTTTTAAACCTAGCTATGCATGTTGAAATTCACTCAAACTTAAACAGCCATTTTTAGTTCAGCCTGGATTATTTGGGATGTTTTCTCTTAGCAAGGTATTCATCATTACTTCTAAACTATTTTATTAACATTATTTTTCACGTCTATGGCATGCTGTTAAAGTGTAGCAACCAGAATTCAAAGAGTAGCCTTGAAGTCTTCTTCATATGCATAGCTCTTCTTTATTTGAACACGCTGTGACACTCGTTCAGTAAAAGAGTTAGGTTGGTAAAACTTTTCCATACTTATACAGGAGGTCCGGTGCTTGGTTTTAAGTTGTAGATTTGATCATTTCGGTTCCTTGCCAGTCGTCTCTTTCAGCTTCTCCTGTCCCCACTTGATCTTGTTTCGTAAAGCAGTAGTTCTCTCAGAGGAGGATTGTCAGCTAAGCAGAGCAAATGGGCATTGCCTGGAACTCATTAGAAATGTCCCTTCCAGCCGGGCTCGGTGGCTCAGCCTGTAATCCCGTGCCTTTGGGAGGCTGAGGTGAGTGGATTGCCTGAGCCCGCGGGTTCGAGACCCGCCTGGGCAGTGAGACCTCATCTCTACAATAAATCAAAAAATCAGCCGGGCGTGGTAGCACATGCCTGTAATTCCGGCTACTCGGAAGGCTGAGGCGGAAGGATCACTGGAGCCCAGCAGGCGAGGCTGCGATGGCCGGGAGCAGCCACTGCACTCCAGTCTGGGCGACCGAGTGTGGCTCCAACTCAAAAAAAAACACAAAAAGAAATGTCCCTTCCTGGGTGATTCTGCACACTCTACTCTGGGTGAGTCTGCATATTAGACCAGTACCACAGGCAAGTAGATATACATCTACCATCATCACATCCTAGTGCAGCAGAAGTCAGCCCAGCTTTAAGCTTAAAGGAGATGATATTCTTGCAATGTGATCCTGAGTAGTGGCACACAAAAGCCTTTACTAACCTTTGACAGTAGCATGTCATTGTGATCTCTTCTCGGTTCTATTCCTTTTGGTTGTTTGAAGTTGCTGGCAAATGTTGAAAAATGCCTGTTGTAGGGGGATTTGAGAATGACTTTCAGCATCTTTTTTCCTTGCTTAAGATTTTATAGTCATTATATGAATTTTCATTCTAAGGACTAAGGATAGCATTTGTGGGATTTTTTTGGTTTTGTTTTTTCAAGGGGCTAGAATTCAAAAAAGATAACATTGGGATATTTTTAGACATGCCCCCATAGTGTGAGAAAACTGAAATCAGTCATTGCATTATAAGTGTAGCTGTGGGTGGACTTCTGTGACACTCGTGTATCTTTGGATATTGATTTTTTTTTTTTTTTTGAGTTGGTCTCACTCTGTCGCCCAGACTGGAGTGCAGTGGCCGCTCCCGGCCACTGCAACCTCGACCTGCTGGGCTCCGGCAATCCTTCTGCCTCAGCCTTCCAAGTAGCCGGAATTACTACCATGCCCGACTGATTTTTTGATTTATTGTAGAGATGAGGTCTCGTTGCCCAGGCAGGTCTCGAACCTGCGGGCTCAGACAATCCACTCACCTCAGCCTCCCAAAGGCACGGGATTACAGGCTGAGCCACTGAGCTCGGCTTGGATCTTGATATCCCCTCTTTTCCCTGCTACTTCATTCCAGAGCAGAGAAGAAGGCTACTCTGAGCTTAGCTCCCTGTTAAAACTCTGTGTGCATTAATGAGAAGAGTCTTGGTGGAAGCAAGAAGCAGAGAGTGATGAAGTAGCAGTTTCGAGTAAGAAGCAGGAGATAAGCTTGGTCTAGCAGGGACAGCACCTGAGCTGCCTGCTTGGGGTAGCCAGGGTGAAGAGTGCTGGCCAGCCTCTTGCCTTCTGGAGTGTGTAGGGTCAGAGAATATTTCAACTGATTCAACTCTGCAGGAGTGTACCCATTCATGGCAGTCTGTCCATAACTGTGCAGTTTGTGTTTAAATCTTAATAAAAATCTAGACTTCTTAAAGAAAAATTGGGAGAGGGGGTATATAATTCCATATGTTTTCTTTTCACTGGAAATTACTATTGAGGATGAGATATGCTTTTGTAAAAATGGGTTCCCGGTAAGATCTTCCCACAGGAGATTGGGGAAGAGCTTGCGTAAGTGTTGGCAGCCTTAAAGATTCCTGTGTCTTGAGACACTGTAGTTTAAAACATGAGAATTAGGCACCCCCTATTCTTTGATATGCAATTAAAATACTATTTTGTAGAACTATCTCTACAGTCTATTCTAGGAGTATATGTCCATATATTGTATACATATTCATACATATACGATGGGGGGGGCCCAAAAAATCCTGGAATTATCTTTTGGAGGGCAGGCCCTTGTAGAACAGGCTTTCCCCCCTAGGAAAGTATTCTGTTGACATCAGGGTGCCTGCTAGTGTTGTAAGAGGCTGTTAATTTTATGTTATTTTATTGGAGATTCTTTCAGTGCATTTGCTCATTTCTTGATGGGGGATTTACATAACAACTTGCCCACACCACGTTGAGTGTTCAGCAGTTTTTGACCCAAATCAGCATGACCCCCCATATCCCACTCTCCTTATTCACCTGATATTGCCCTGAGCAACTATTTTTGGTTCCTGGATGAAAAAAGTCCTCAAAAGGAAATATTTTGCTGATGTAGAAGAGGTGAAACAAAAAGTGGCAGGAGCTTTAGAAAGCATCAAAATTGATGAGTTCAGACACTGTTTTGTTGAGCAGTGGAAAAAGTGACTTAATAGGCATATTGCATCAAATGGAGAGTACTTTGAAAGTGACTGAAGTTTAGACATGTAAGAATAAATACACACTTTTTAAGACATAAATCCAGGGCCTTTTTGGATCTCCCCTCGTGTATGTACACACACACGTGAATAAATACACAGACATACAAATGTGTATAGCATATGAAAATAGATACAATACATGTATATATAAGAGTGTGTGTATGTGTGTAGCTGGAAATTTTGCATCATCTATTGATAGATGAATGCCTGGAGTGGTATTCATTCAGCAAATAGAAACAAAATTTCAAGTCCAATTAAAAAATCTGAGGAGGGGGATAGAATATCAATAAGGGTACCTCATCTCAAACCAGGCAAATTGGGGACCAATGGGAGGCCCAAACTTTACCTGTATGATGACCACTTGTATACCTAATTCTGTATTCTACCCCACATCTTTAAAATAAAAATAAATTTTAAAAAGAACAAATCTGATCCTTTAGTCTGAAGCTGTTGAAACGTGAAGAAAGCCTGGGTCTTTCTTTTACTGTAAGTAAACTTATACCAACATATTGTAAACCACAACACAGAGACAGTTGTTTTATGGTATGTATTTTCCACAAGTTTACTCATAAAATTGCCTCCTTATCATATATAATCTGAAATTTTCTGGCTTAGTCTAATAGTGTAATTTCATGTTACTTTTAACTGTTTGTGTTTCTTCTCTCCTAAAAATACTCACTGCAGATTAATAGGAAATGGTTCTTTAGCAATCTATAGATATTGAAACATATTTATTTATTCTTTATTGTATCCTTTCTTATATTGTTCCTGTCTCAACTTATATGAATTCAAAATTAGATCTATAGTAGTTGATCCTGATTTTAGTCTTTAAAAATATAATAAACAGATGTCCGGCTTTTTAATCATAGAATATTTTCTAAGATTTGTTTAATTATGTATTTTAGGATATTGGTGCTGGAAAAGGCAAATACTATGCTGTTAATTTTCCCATGAGAGATGGTATTGATGATGAATCATATGGACAGATATTTAAGCCTGTAAGTGTTGCTGTTTTCAGAATTGAAGTTGAATTTAAGAATGTTGTTGGAGACATTAACACTTGCTGTCTTCTATGTAGATTATCTCCAAGGTGATGGAGATGTACCAGCCCAGTGCTGTGGTCTTACAGTGTGGGGCAGACTCACTCTCTGGTGACAGACTCGGTTGTTTCAATCTCACAGTCAAAGGTAAGCAACTCAAAAGTGTGGCATTCCCAGAAAAAAACTGGTTTTACTTCTCCCCAAGAACCTCCCATAAAAGTTCTCATTGTAGTTTCTTGCCTGCTGTTTTAATACTGAAGTCTGTGCTTTGCATTTTTTATTGTTTTTGTCCATTGTATGTATGACTGGGATTAATCTTGCTTCACTTTCTCTGTGTAATTTTATGAAGCTTGTTGTTGTCTGAATCAAGCCAGCTGTTTTAACTGTTTTTGTTGATTCTTTTATGCTTACCTTTCTCCAGATAACATGCATACTTTATTACTTAATTGGATTTTTAATTTTAGATTTAAGGTTCATTTCCTATTATGGAAGAAGGTTTAACTTCCTCACCATTTTATCCCCAAAATACCAGACCTTCCCATCACTTCATTTTTACAAATCAGAATTTTGGTCATGGTATTCAGTGTTTGCAGCAGCATCTTTAAATATGTTTAGCTTATTCAATTTTTCTTTCCTGTATAACTTGTTCCTAAGTTTTTAATTTGCTTAGTTTTCTCTTTCTCATTGCTAAACTGCCAACGTCTCCCATGTCTTCACATGTCCAGATACATTGAATGCTCAGTTTGTCTCTGATCTGCTCCAGTTTAGACTGAATAACCTCTGCAGACCCCATAGGACATACACTGCCCTTTGCTTCTCTGTTGCGATAGCTCCTTCTATTGTGTGTTCTGTGTCTTCCTCTTAGTTTATTGCATTTGAGCACATTCTCAAAGAGCTTCCTGAGAAAAGGCATGTGGGAGATTAGGATTGCGGCACAAAATATTTAAATTTTGATCAAACATTGAAATGAACATATAATTGAAGTCTAGGGCAAAGCAAAATAACACCATTATAGAATGAACTTACAGAGTATTAAAAATAAATCTGAAATTTTATTTAATAAGTTCTTAAAATTTATATGTGGATCAGAAATGATTTATCATGGATGTTTGTATATGATTTTCGAGTTTCTTTCATGTGAACTTTTAGGTTAGTGGGTTTATGTTCCGCTTTGAATTCTTTCATAAGATGAAGAATTCTCAAATAGAACTTTCTCCAGAACGATTACTGGCCTAAGTGGAACTAACTGACTAAATTCAGAGATAAAAAGTTTCTTGATTTAATGTACACTAGCCAGCATTAGAATTACAGTGTAATCTGTTAGAGGTTGAACCAAATTAGTCACCCCTTTTTTGGTAGGCCATTGGTAGTTGAAGGGCAGCAATTTCATATTGTTAAATCTAATGTGTCAGTTAACCATCTGTTGTCTCAGAAGGGGTATGAACTTCCTAATGTACTCTTAAAATTTGTGTTAACTGTCAGTTTTCCTAGTTGGCTCTGAAAGTCCTTATAAGTTTTGTACTTAAAAGTAATTGTTTGTATAATCATAAGCTGCAGAATTTTACTCTTAGAATAAATAAATCTGCATTATATGTCAATGGAAGGAATTTCAGCTGTATGAAGCACACAAGGGTGTCTGCATTTCCAAGTCTTGGTTGAGTCTCTCTGCCACAAGCTTTGATCTGTGTCATTGGCTCCCTCCTGACCATCTCCTTGCCACCTTCATGGGGGTTCCTGCCCATTCTTCATTTTTCCAGAGTTTAGTCTTTTAAAAATCCCTTATAGCCACTTTTGTTAAGTTTTGAGATAAAGGAAAAGTAAACACCTTTTTTTAGCCAGCTATCTTCACTTGGAGTCTGTAAACTTTTTATGTTTATTTGTCTTTAAAAATGCCCACCTGGGCAACTTGGCGAGACCTCATCTCTATAGTAAATCAAAAATTAGCCGGGCGTGGTAGCGCACGCCTGTAGTTCCAGCTACTTGGAAGGCTGAGGTGGAAGGATCGCCAGAGCCCAGCAGGTCGAGGCTGCGGTGGCCGGGAGCGGCCACTGCACTCCAGTCTGGGCTACAGAGTGAGACTCCAACTTAAAAAAAATAATAAAAAATTTAAAAAATTAAAGTGCCCAAATGATTTTTCTTTTTTTTAATCTGTTATAAGAAACTCATGTTTCTCTAGTAGCAGTAATAACAATTGGTTTGTGAATGCCATAAGGCAGCTTTTAAAGAACATGCAGTGAGATGCTCAGTGTATATAAAGTTACATTAGGAGAACAGAGTTAAGCTTTGTAGAATTAACTCTGAGTTGGAGGGGAAGATGGGAAAACTATTTTTGGATAATGGGGCTTTTAAATAGTTGGTTTTTTCTTGTGCCTTTTTTGATTTTTTTTTTTTTTTGACAAAATATTCTTCAACATGCATGACTATCTTATAATTGAAAGACTTTCTTTCTTTAAAGATCACATTATGTGCTTGGATGATACTATTTCTTGTACCTTTTTTGATTTTTTTTTGTTTTGACCAAATATTCTTCAACGTGCATAACTATCTTATAATTGAAAGACTTTCTTTCTTTAAAGATCAAATTATGTGCTTGGATGATAATATTCCAAGAAATTACTAGTAGCATAAATGATTATTGAGCTATGTCATTTTTATCCAGAGGATGTATTTGGCTTCATGTTAGGTTTACTTTTATATTCAAATTTCTATACACAGAAGTTCTTTTTCTTTTTTCTTTTTCTTTTTTTTAATTTCACCCGATGGTCTCACTCTTGCCCAAGCTAGAGTACAGTGGCGTGATCACGACTTACCATAGCCTTGACTTCCTAGGCTCAGGTGATCCTTCTGCCTCAGCCTCTCAAGTAGCTGGGACTACAGGAGCATGCCATATACCCTGCTATTTTTTTTTTAATTTTTATTTTGTAGCGATATAATCTTGCTATATTGTCCAGGCTGGTCTCAATTCCTGACCTCAAGTGACCTTTCCTGTCTTAACCTACCAAAGTGCTGGGATTACAGGCATGAGCCAACATACCCAGCCAACATTCATTTTTAATTCTTAAATAAGATATTAAAATTAGCCATAATGCCACTATTTGAAGCTAACCCATGGTTAAACTTTGTTCTATTGCTTTCCGTAATTATTTTACACATGTATAAAGAAAAAATGGTAATAAAAATCAGTTTCAATTGTGCGTAATGTTTCATTGTAACTCAGTTTTTACCATGTAATCTTACACGAACTTCATTCTAAGTTAATAACAAAATATATATATTTATATTTTTTAATCTTAATATAGTTGTATATTTGATGTCTGTCAGGGCAGGGATGCTTACATTATGTCTTATACATATCATTATATGAAAAGTGTTTGATGAGGAGTTTTAGACTAGAAATATTTCAAAATTTTATTCTTTTTTTAAAAATATATTTAGAAAAATCATTTTGGCTGAGTAGAATTTTGTTTTATTTCTTATCGTTTTAAAATGTACTTTTCGAATTGATAACAATATACAGATTTTTGATGTTACCCAAATCTTCTTTGTCTTAGGTCATGCTAAATGTGTAGAAGTTGTAAAAACTTTTAACTTGCCATTGCTGATGCTTGGGGGAGGTGGATACACAATCCGCAATGTGGCTCGGTGTTGGACTTATGAGACTGCCGTTGCCCTTGACTGTGAGATTCCCAATGGTGAGTATTCTCCTTATGATATCAGTACTGTATGAATTGTGATGGGGTCACCTACTAATAAACCCATTGTCAGTGGAAGATGAATCTGACTCACCTAACTTGCCAGCATCGTGGCTTAGCCAACCTGCCTTGAATGTGCTCAGAACACTGGCAGTAGCTTACAAGTGGGCAAAATAATATGCCTCTTGTGTTGAATATGTCATATGATACCTTAAATACTGTGTATCACGTCGAAATTGTGGCATGAGATCTAACCTCTGAAAGCCAAGGACTGTCTGTGCTGGAGGTGGATGCATGATGAGAGTGAACTCCAAAGCTGCATAAGCAGGAGGGCACCCCTTTTAATCACCTCCTTTCGAAATATTCCATTGCCTGGATCTGGATTCTGTGCATAGATTTCTGTGAAAACAGTTTTTAACAGTAACTGTATTGTTTTTATTAGAGTTGCCATATAATGATTACTTCGAATATTTTGGACCGGACTTCAAACTGCATATTAGTCCTTCAAACATGACAAACCAGAACACTCCAGAATACATGGAAAAGATAAAGTAAGAAGTCATACGCTTTTTTTGGATAAACATTTTATCGTAAAGCTTTCGGAGGCTTTAGAGGGCGAAGTAGAGTGGGTCCTTTTAACTTTGTACATCACATATTTCCTTTGTCTTTTTCTAAAGGATTTTAAACCTTAAGTTATTGATCTGTTTAATTTCTGAAGTTAATGGAAAAGTGTAAGCTTTATAGTTCAAACATGTGATTTCCTATTAGCTAAATATATTTTTACATTGCTAGGAATACTAAGTTTTACCCTGTCTCGCTTTACCTTAAAGTGAGACTTCTTTTCATTGTCTGAAACATTCTGCTGAAGCTTGACATTCAGGAGCAGAGTAGAGGCAGTACAGTGCATGCGGGATGGTATCCCCTCTGCCACAGGCTGTGTGACACTCCACAGGCTCACTCGCCTTTGCTCTCGTGGTTCTTCATTGAAGTAGGGAATAGAATAGCACATGCCTTGAAACTTTTGAAGGCTAAGTGAGTTAATATATGTAAAATAGCAATGTTCAGTGAGTTATTTTCATTAATAGGTCAGAAATGAAATTTCTTGCTTTCCTCTTGCGTGTGAGAGGAACTGCAAAGAAATTGAAGTTTTTCTAATCAATTTTGCATGTGTAATTTAGGCAGCGATTATTTGAAAATTTGCGCATGTTACCTCATGCACCTGGTGTCCAAATGCAAGCTATTCCAGAAGATGCTGTTCACGAAGACAGTGGGGATGAAGATGGAGAAGATCCAGACAAGAGGATTTCTAGTAAGACAATGCCTGATGATATTCTCTTCCTCCGGTTTATTAAAATGACACTTCGAAGTGAAGGTTTTAGTGGCCCAAGAACTTGACCATGGCTCTTGTTCATGAGCAATTACTGTTGTGTTTGCCATTTTTAATCTTATAGAGAATTCACTGCCTGGTGTTTTGAAGCCTGTTAGGTGTCAGCAGTTCAGTTTATATGACTATACATACAGAAGCGACAGTTTCCAGAAATTAACCACTGGAGTGTATGTGGGCGTAAATAGGAAAACGCATTTATCTAATGTGGTCAGCTCAGTAACATTAAGCCCCTCTGTTGTATTTTATAACCTCTCGTATACTTAATGTGATTGTTAGATGTATAGCTTAATGTCATGCTTAGTGGTATAGACAGCCCAACATATTCACTGTTAATGGTGTTTTTTATTTTGTACACTTCCTTTCTCAGTTCTGAATTAAAAGGTTAATTTTTAGATAAAAACATTATTCCTATCCTGTTAGAAAAAAACAGATTGTTTTCCTTCAAAGTTTTGGCTTTTTTGAAAAAAAATTAGTTACCTCATTTTTTTTTTATACCTCTTTGAACTGTTCCTGGATCAAAACTAAACTTTCAATATTAAGCAAGCTGTTCATTCAGTTCAAATCTTAAAATCATTAAACTCCTATTATCCTGTACTTCTGAGTGTGGACTTGGTTGGTGCGTTGGCATGAGTGTGCTGTGATGACTGTAAAACCTGTGGCTGTTTGGCAAAGTGAACTAAAATCTGTTCTGTCAGTTCGAGCATCCGACAAGCGGATAGCCTGTGATGAAGAGTTCTCGGATTCTGAAGATGAAGGAGAAGGAGGCCGTAGGAATGTGACTGACCATAAGAAAGGTGCCAAGAAAGCCAGACTGGAGGAAGATAAGAAGGAGGCAGAGGACAAAAAAGCAGGTCAGACTTGTTTGTTGGTGACTGTGTTTTGGTTTTAGTTTTATACTTGAGATGCATTGCAGTTTTTAAGAGTCTAAGAATTGCACAAGTATCAGTGGTGGGGGTATGTGGTGCTCTGCTTGCTTTTTTTTTTTAATTTAAAGCTCTTTATAAATGTTATTACTCACTTTTGCTTTAATAATATAAGAAACCTTATTCTCTTCTCTTGATAGCATAGGCTTAAAATAGTGAACAGTGCACTGTGATATGGATTGGGTTAGAAAGAGGACAAAGTAATCACATGTCTGTTTGTAGTCTGGACAGAACTGAAATGCTAAGATAATTTTTAGCTACTTAAAGTTTATTTAATGGGAGTAAAACACAAAAGAAGACTTATGTGTTATCCCTAGGCCAATTTCACCATTTTGAAAATGGTCAGATAATGGACTTTGTTTAGAAATTGAAGAAAAAAGCATAACTCTGAGGAAAGATCAGGATTTGGGAGCTAGTCTAGGGATGAGAAACACTTTCTGATGCTTTAACTTAAGAATGCTGGATCAGCTTTAGACAGTTGAATTTGCTAGCAGAAATTAGTCTTTTATCTGAGTTCCCAAAACACATCTGGCATTTATTTAACATATATGGTAGCCCCTCGGTTTTAACTGCCCACTGTATCACAGTGATGGCTGCAGCCTGTACTTGTATTCTGATTGACATTCACAAATTCCAGATGTGACTAAAGGAAGAAAGACTTAACTTGAGCTATAGGATTTTTCCAGTTTTTTTTCTTTTACCGTCAGTATGGCTTTTTATCTGTCCTTTTTTGATGTTTTCATTTTTAAAATACCCTTCTGTGCTTTAAAAAAAAAATTGGTGTTAGGGTCTCTTCTGATAAAGGGCCTTGCAATTTCAATTGTTAAAATTACTCAGCCTCCAGAAAAAAGAAATATTGTCACAAAAAACTTCTTTAAAAAATCACCAAATAAGGCCACCCCCTCGGGTCCTCTCCCACTGTGGGAGTTTTTCTGTCCTCTCAAAATATCCTACTTTCTTAAAAAAATTAGCAAATCAGAAGAGTTGGGGCTGCACCTTTTCTCTTTCTCCCCAAGCCTGTCTGGCACTTTGAATTAAATGTACATAGTCAAACTTCACTAGAAATAGAAACACAGTCCATACATGTAGCATGTGTTTGTATTGTAGATCAGATCCATCCCTTATTATTACATGATTGCCTCACAACTTTGGTTTGCTTGCACATTTAAAGAAAAATTGCAGCACATTTGATAAATTTTTTGCAACATTGAGTTTATAGTGCTATTATTTGATTAAATTGTGACCTTTCAGTGTCTATTTAGTGAAAGTTAAAGCCGTAGGTATATGCATAGGTGTGAGCAGTGGCACGTGGCCCCTGCTGGATCTCTGGGCTGGTGGTCTTTAACTCCCCTCCTTTCTCACAGCACTTGGCTACGTGGGTCTTACGGTTCTTCTCATCCTACCAGTGCTATCTTGCCTCAAAGTTGTTTTTTTTTCTTTTATGCTTTTCTTTTTTCACAATACTTCTCCCCTTCTGTACCCCAAATCTATTCATTCTTCAGGACCTTCTTAGTATCTCTTCTTCATTGTAGCCTTTCATGGCCTCCCAAGTGCTGTGCCCATGTCTATAGCGAGTGTCTTCACAGCCCTGATCCCACAGCTGCACCCACGGGGCCAAAGGCTCAGCTGCACCCATGGGCCAAGGGCTCAGCTGCACGCACGGGGTCAAGGACTCCGAAAGGCAAGGAGCACAGTGTGTAGTGATAGCTTGCAGCGCCAGCACCCAGCACAGCATGTCACACACAGCTTGTTTCTTTATGAATCCATGAGTAGTAAGATGCATTTGGCAGCTCTTTATATTTTAAAAATAAAGTATATTTTGAAATAAGATTTATACATTTTGCATTTTAAAATAGATTTTAATCTTTTCCTAATTTTTGTTTTCAGATGTTAAGGAAGAAGAGAAATCCAAGGACAATAGTGGTGAAAAAACAGATACCAAAGGGTAAATGATGTTCCTTATCTAGTAATCTTTGTATACTATGAAAATAATAGACACATTTGTTTGGTGTTTGTATGTTTTCATATATGCTTTAGAAATGCTGGACCCAAACTGAGAACATCATTAAGATTTACAAAGTACTCTGAATTTTAGTCTGTACTGATGCATAAAACAGCTTGCCCTATTAACTGTTGGTTTATGTCATCTGTTTAGCTCCGTATCTACTATTTTAAGTAGCTTGCCTTAAAAAGCTACAGAGACCAGTATTAATGAACATTACAACTAAATCAGTTTGGCTGGACTCGGTGGCTCAGCCTGTAATACCGTGCCTTTGGGAGGCTGAGGTGAGTGGATTGCCAGAGCCCACGGGTTCGAGACCCGCCTGGGCAGGCGAGACCTCATCTCTACAATAAATCAAAAAATTAGCCAGGTGTGGTAGCGCGCACCTGTAATTCCGGCTACACGGAAGGCTGATGCGGAAGGATCGCCGGAGCCCAGCAGGTCAAGGCTGCGGTGGCCGAGAGCGGCCACTGCACTCCAGTCTGGATGACGGAGTGAGACTCAACTCAAAAAAAAAAAAACAACTAAATCAGTTTGAATTCTTGTACATAACTTATCTGAGACCTTGAGCCACTGCGCCCTGCTGAGACCCTTGTTATTACCTTTTATGTATGCACTTTTGGTTTTCATGATGCTGCTATTTCTGCGTGCATAATCTGTTTAGTGTGATGAAAGGTAAATTTTAAGAAACATTGGGTGAACCTAGCAGTTTTTAAGTAAAAACATAATTGAAGATTTTATTGTTGGAAAGTATGTAAATGTGTGGTTTCACGTAACTGTGCCTTTATAGGACCTTGGAATAGATTGTAAAATCACTAGAAAGGTAAGACATTCAATACTCCCAGAACACTTCAGGCATTCTCCACTAACATGTGTCTTGGCACGAGCTAGGACCTGATCGATAGAATAATAGGTCAATGTATTTAAACCAAATTGTGCCATTTTTAATATTTCACGTTGCATCTTTTCACAGAGCTAAATCAGAACAGCTCAGCAATCCTTGAATCGGAGTCACCAATTGCAGAAAATTATTAGAAAGAGAAAATATTGGGAGGAAAATGTTTTCTGTTTGAAGACTTCTGGCTTCATTTTATACTACTTTGGCATGGACTGTATTTATTTTCAAATAGCTTTTTTCATTTTTGTTTTTCTTGGCAAGTTTTATTGTGAGTTTTTCTAATTATGAAACAAAATTTCTTTTCTCCACCATGCTCTCGTATGTCATAGTATTTAAAATTGATGTGAGTTAATATGTCAAAAAAACTGATCTATTAAAGAAGTAATTGGCCTTTCTGAGCTGATTTTTCCATCTTTTGTAATTATCTTTATTAAAAAATTGTACTTGGATTGTCTTCTGTCTGTTTATTACAATATGAAATTTTGTTTCAGAGGCTGATGATACGACCAGTTCTGTAGAATTAGAGTACAATTAGAGGGGAAAGATAATAATGATAGCTTTTAAATGAACCTGCTGTTAGATGAAACCCAGTGCTTTTACTGTATTTATGTGTACATCTAATTTATTACTTATTATTATTTACATGATATCCTGGTTTCCAAATCAAGGAAGTAAACACTTAAAGAAGTCATTTCTCATTCAACAACTGCTTACTGAGGATCTGCCCATGTTAAGACCTGGGGAATACGACTAAAGGTAATGAAAAGTGCTTTTACTGCAGCTATCTCTAGTGATGGGAAGCAGACAGATGGGGCAGTTTCCACTGTTAACACGTGCAAAGAAAAAGAATAAAACATTCAGAGCCTGGCCACAGTCGGTGGAATCTTCCTTTTGCCGAGCCCAAATGGATTCTTTGGAGATTTAAAATGCATTTGCTAGAAGACTGAAGCATCTCTGTTGCCCTCTGTAAAGTGTGTTAGAACACGAAGCACCTTGTTTGTCACGAGCAGCTGTGCACTCACCCAGATATAGCAGATACTTCCCTTTCACTGTATTTGCTTCAAGTGTTTTTTTTTTTCTCTTTATGCACTTTGTCATTCATAATTTTCCTCTCTCCCAGTCTTCAGAAATAACCATTGTTCTGAAGTTTGTGGATATCTTACCCATTTTTTGCCCTTTTGCCACATGTTTGTTAGCATTAGTAATGAAGAAACTCAGGCCCTTCATAGGGGGGTAATGAAGTGTATTCAGTGTTGTGAAACACAGAGATGATATCACATATGCACACTTTCGTAATGTGCTTTTGTTCATTTAATAATGTGATCTACTCCAGTTAACACATGTAAGTAAAGTTCATTTCAACACTATGTATTATGCTTCATTATATGAACATACTGAAATCGTACACTTCAATGCTATAATGAATTTCCTTGAGTATATTTGGGAGATTTTCTCCCCCTATTTCTAAGTAGAAGCAATTATTATGTAAAACTTAAGGCTTCAAAAGAATTATCTAAAACAAGCCGTTTCAGCCAGTTGATTGGATACGTTAATATGCAGAAACCAGAAACATTCAAAAAATGACTAGCTCTGTTGGAAGACAAAGACCTCTATTCACAATTGCAGTGACATATTTCTAGAAATAATATGTAAAGAAGCTGTGGTTCTGGTGTGTAGTGACATCAGTGTAAGGTAGGATGTCAAAATCAATACCCAGATATATTTAGAGGTTCATACTGGATTAAAATATTTGAAGTTGGTGGGGAAAGATGGTTGATAAGTGGTATGGGGATAATGAGGATGGAAAAACACCAGGAGTTTTGTGCCTTACACCAGAAGATTTAAATTGGAAAAGATGAAACTATACCAAAAACTTTCAGAGACTTTAAAAAAAAAACCCAATGAACTGTGGAAGACCAAAGTATGACATCAAGCCCAAACTATAGAAGAAATTATGTATTTGACAACAACCACCCAAGCTGTGTAAACCAGCAGAAACTTACAAGCCAAAGAAAAGCATCAAGAAAAAGGACAAATAGTCGTATGAACCCCTGCCAGCCCAAAGGCTTATATCTAAAGATAGCAGAGGGGAAAAGGTGCATGGTAGCTGCTGGGAACAACATACATCCAGTTAACATGAAAAGATCTTGAACCCCACTCAGGAAATGTAAGTTAAAAGCTTCAGAGTTACTTGAACCTAATTTTCATGTTAAAGATTCAAAAAGGAACTGTTGGCAAAAGTTTGAGGAAACTTGTGTGTTAGGATGTGTAAGTCAGGACTTCCTAAGACTAATTTGACATTTTGTATCAAAATTATAACTAATTCAAAATTCTGTTTGGGGAAACTTAACATGTGCAAATGACTTTCAGAAGACTTCATTATGCAACATGGTTTATTATAAAGTTAAAACAACCTATATTTAATAGGAAAAATTAAGTGATACTTAACATTGTGCAGCCATAACAAGTATGAGATAATGGAAAGATCAAGATACATGGAGTGAAAAAACTGAGGAATACGTTAAAAAACATGAACAGATAATTTCTGGTCAAAGGGATAAAAATTTTAGGTAACCTTAAGCTTCCTGCTCTATCTTAATAGCTCTGGATGTGTCTTGGAGGGTTATGCAGATCAGGATTGCCGGAACAGCAATGACTACTTAGTTTCAATTTTTTTTTTTTTTTGAGTTGGAGTCTCACTAGAGCTGGGATATTTGCTGTGCAGCTGGTGGCAGCCAGAGCAACTCCATCTTGGATGCCAACGTACCTTGGCTTCTGGTTAAGCCCAGTTCTGAGACGCCCTCTCAGGCTTTCATTATCTGTTGTTTCTGTGTGAAAGCAAATACTGCTGCAAATTAACCCTGGCAGTCCTGTACTTAAGGTGTCCTGTATGTACTTTCAGAGTTCCCCTCCTCTGTGCTACCCCATCCCTGAGTCTGAGAGCAATGGCATGGCACTGCTGTCCAGGACAGCAGGACTTACGCTCACATCCTTACCATGTTTCTAACTGGGTTCTTGGACCTCTCCGCTTCCTCGGATTTTAGGGTTAGGTTTGTGTAGTCCCACCCACTATAAAACAGGCCAAACATTGCCAAAATCAGATTATATAAGGGTCATCTGGAAGAATTGTGAAACAGGGACAATAGCTATCAACCATTGCTGTCATTTCATTTAAAAAAAGACATTTTTAGCCAGGCTCAACCCTGTAATCTCAGCACTTTGGGAGGCCAAGGAAGAGAATTGCCTGAGTCCAGGGATTTGAAACCAGCCTGGGCAACTTGTGAGACTTAGTCTCTATGATAAAAAATTAGCCGGGCATGGTGGCACGTGGCTGTGGATTCAGCTACTTGGAAGGCTGAGGCGTAAGGATCACTTGAGCCCAGTAGGTTGAGGCTGTGGTGGTTGAGAATATGCCACTGCATTCCAGCCTGGGTGACAGTGAGACTCCGACTCAAAAAAAAAAAAATGACGTTTTCAAATTGAGACTTAAACTCAAGAAAAAGATTACTTAATTCCCTTAATGAAGATGCTGTTGTGCTGTCCTTGATGTTTGTTTCCCCACGGCATGGATGACTGTGTTCTAAGCATTGGTCCTCTAATTGCAACTAATCTTTGCCCTTCTACCAAAACTGCTGACATTCTTCTTCTGTTTTTTATGACTTTGGTATGGAACTACTGCTGACGTTCTCTGATAAGGGAAATTCAAAATGTTTCTTGCTTACATTGTGATAAAAAATGCAAACTTAGATTTATGTGCTGTTACAAGTAGTAACCGTTTCAATAGCTAAAGAACCCTTCACCATAATCTTGTGCAAGTTACTAACCTCTGCCTCAGTCGTTTCATAACTTAAAATGAAGAAAATCATAATAGTTCCTATGGCATAAGTTTGTTGTGAGGATTGAGTTAACCCATAGACAATGCTAAATAAATGTTAGCTGCTGCTGTTGTTATTAGGTGAAGAAAGGTAGGTGGGGCTAGAATGATTCAGGGGGTGGGGAATTTATTGGAAAACTTCCCTTAAAAATTACATGGGTCGTGGTAGGGCTTTCTGTTGCACTTTGATGCCCCGCTAGTATCAAACTACTAGGTCATGGTGGATAGCAAAGCAATTTTGAGACATGATTTTAGCAGGGAAGTGAATAGGATTTGGCAAAATTAGAGGGATAGTAATGCCCTGTAATTTACCAAAGGATACTCAAGAAAATGGTTATCCAAAATCATGAACTTCACAGCAACCTGGGTGGACTTAGAGTCAATACTGAGTGATCTTTCACAGAAACAAAGAACTGAGTATCACATGTTCTCACTCATAAGCAGGACTTCAACAACTATCGTAATACCATAAGTAAAAGATTGGCGGTAGTGGGAAACTGCTGGGGGGCAGAGGGGGTGGGGAGGCAGGATTGGCAGTAGTGGAAATCTGCCTAAGGAAGGGGAAAACACACCTCATCAACAAGGGTACCTGCATAAGGAACATTTGTATACCTAACCCTGAGTTGTACCTCACATCTTTAAAATTTAAAAAAAAATTACAAGTTAAAGAAAACGGATATGAGTGGACGAATGTGAGGAATGCTCAGGGGGCCGCAGCATCTATAAGCTACTGGATGGCTGCTTTTCCCCACTGTGTCACAAGGTGGCAGATACTCCAGCTTAAATTTTTTTTCCTATTTGTGTATTTTCTCTTGTAGTCACTTGGTGATCCAGGTAAAAAGCAGAGTAACAAGCCGGGCTCGGTGGCTCAGTCTGTAATCCTGTGCCTTTGGGAGGATGAGGTGAGTGGATTGCCTGAGTCCGCGGGTTCGAGACCTGCCTGGGCAGCGGGACCTCATCACTACAGTAAATCAAAAAATTAGCCGGGCGTGGTAGCGCCTGCCTGTAATTCCAGCTACTTGGAAGGGTGAGGCGGAAGGATCGCCGGAGCCCAGCAGGTCAAGGCTGCGGTACCGGGAGAGGCCACTGCACTCCAGTCGGGCGACAGAGTGAGACTCCAACTCAAAACAAAAAACGCAGAGTAACAGGAATTAACAGATTCTTTTGAGTGTACTATTGAATAAAAAGTTATTTGTAAGCTACAGTTTGCTATAATGATTTAGGTTTTTCTATAACAGTTATAACACCAATTCCATTCTTTTTTCCTTTTTTTTTTTTTTAATTGAGACAGTGTCTCACTATGTTTCCCAGGCTGGTCTTGATGGGCTCCTGCCTCCAGTTTCCGACATGCTGGGATTACAGGCATGAGCCACCATGCCTGGCTTCTCCCATACCACCAATTTCCAAGTTTTCCATTCATGAAACACAGGAGAGTGTGTCTGTTAGCAACTAGCTAATAACATGTAACTGAGTATTAGAGCCAGAATAATTTTCTGTCTAGGCTGGGGGTAGAATTGGCTAATAGGCCTAGTGAGAGAGGAGAGTTGAAAATTATTTCTAGAAATAATAACCAAATA